TTGTACATACTAATGTGATACCGACTGGTTTGACAGTTTGTACATACTAATGTGATACAGGCCCGTTTGAAAGTTTGTACATACTAATGTGATACAGGCCTGTTTGACAGTTTGTTCATACTAATGTGATACAGACCTGTTTGACAGTTTGTACATAATAATGTGATACAGGCCTGGTTGACAGCTTGTACATACTAATGTGATACAGACCTGTTTGATAGTTTGTAAATACTAATGTGATACAGGCCGGTTTGACAGTTTGTATATACTAATGTGATACAGACCTGTTTGACAGTTTGTACATACTAATATGATACAGGCCTGTTTGACAGCTTGTACATACTAATGTGCTACCGACTGGTTTGACAGTTTGTACATACTAATGTGATACAGACCTGTTTGATAGTTTGTACATACTAATGTGATACAGGCCGGTTTGACAGTTTGTATATACTAATGTGATACAGACCTGTTTGACAGTTTGTACATACTAATGTGATACCGGCTGGTTTGACAGTTTGTACATACTAATGTGATACAGACCTGTTTGATAGTTTGTACATACTAATGTGATACAGACCTGTTTGATAGTTTGTACATACTAATGTGATACAGACCTGTTTGATAGTTTGTACATACTAATGTGATACAGACCTGTTTGATAGTTTGTACATACTAATGTGATACAGACCTGTTTGATAGTTTGTACATACTAATGTGATACAGACCTGTTTGATAGTTTGTACATACTAATGTGATACAGACCTGTTTGATAGTTTGTACATACTAATGTGATACAGACCTGTTTGATAGTTTGTACATACTAATGTGATACAGACCTGTTTGATAGTTTGTACATACTAATGTGATACAGACCTGTTTGATAGTTTGTACATACTAATGTGATACAGACCTGTTTGATAGTTTGTACATACTAATGTGATACAGACCTGTTTGATAGTTTGTACATACTAATGTGATACAGACCTGTTTGATAGTTTGTACATACTAATGTGATACAGACCTGTTTGATAGTTTGTACATACTAATGTGATACAGACCTGTTTGATAGTTTGTACATACTAATGTGATACAGACCTGTTTGATAGTTTGTACATACTAATGTGATACAGACCTGTTTGATAGTTTGTACATACTAATGTGATACAGACCTGTTTGATAGTTTGTACATACTAATGTGATACAGACCTGTTTGATAGTTTGTACATACTAATGTGATACAGACCTGTTTGATAGTTTGTACATACTAATGTGATACAGACCTGTTTGATAGTTTGTACATACTAATGTGATACAGACCTGTTTGATAGTTTGTACATACTAATGTGATACAGACCTGTTTGATAGTTTGTACATACTAATGTGATACAGACCTGTTTGATAGTTTGTACATACTAATGTGATACAGACCTGTTTGATAGTTTGTACATACTAATGTGATACAGACCTGTTTGATAGTTTGTACATACTAATGTGATACAGACCTGTTTGATAGTTTGTACATACTAATGTGATACAGACCTGTTTGATAGTTTGTACATACTAATGTGATACAGACCTGTTTGATAGTTTGTACATACTAATGTGATACAGACCTGTTTGATAGTTTGTACATACTAATGTGATACAGACCTGTTTGATAGTTTGTACATACTAATGTGATACAGACCTGTTTGATAGTTTGTACATACTAATGTGATACAGACCTGTTTGATAGTTTGTACATACTAATGTGATACAGACCTGTTTGATAGTTTGTACATACTAATGTGATACAGACCTGTTTGATAGTTTGTACATACTAATGTGATACAGACCTGTTTGATAGTTTGTACATACTAATGTGATACAGACCTGTTTGATAGTTTGTACATACTAATGTGATACAGACCTGTTTGATAGTTTGTACATACTAATGTGATACAGACCTGTTTGATAGTTTGTACATACTAATGTGATACAGACCTGTTTGATAGTTTGTACATACTAATGTGATACAGACCTGTTTGATAGTTTGTACATACTAATGTGATACAGACCTGTTTGATAGTTTGTACATACTAATGTGATACAGACCTGTTTGATAGTTTGTACATACTAATGTGATACAGACCTGTTTGATAGTTTGTACATACTAATGTGATACAGACCTGTTTGATAGTTTGTACATACTAATGTGATACAGGCTGGTTTGATAGTTTGTACATACTAATGAATGGTTCTGTTATAACATTTTAGGATTCTTGTTTAGTATCATTCCTATTATAAGGTTGAAATCGCACTATTTCATGGAAAAGTAATCTTTTGTCGCTTTTTCCAGGCAAGAGGATTGCTGCACCAGTACAGAAAGATTCCAAAAATCCCGTGTAGCTTACATGGTCTGTGTACCCTGTGTGGGCCTGGGATGTGGGACAGTGGCCATGTCCCCATTGTATCGTGTGTTGGCAATCACCCTGATAGTGTCTGTCCTTATCATAGCAGCCCGAGCACCCCAAACTCACCAGATCATCAGGAACTGTAGCAAGTCTAACCTCACAAGATCATCAGGAACTATAGCAACCCTAAACTCACCAGGTCATCAGGAACTAAAGCAACCCTAAACTCACCAGGTCATCAGGAACTATAGCAAACTAAACTCACAAGATCATCGGAAACTATAGGAACCCTAAACTCACCAGGTCATCAGGAACTATAGCAACCCACACTCACCAGCTCATCAGGAACTATAGCAACCTCAAACACACCAGATCATCAGAAACTATAGCAACCCTAAACTCACCAGCTCATCAGGAACTATAGCAACCTCAAACACACCAGATCATCAGAAACTATAACAACCCCAAACTCACAAGATGATCAGGAACTATAGCAACCCACACTCACCAGCTCATCAGGAACTATAGCAACCCTAAACTCACCAGGTCATCAGGAACTATAGCAACCCCAAACTCACCAGATCATTAGAAACTATAGCAACCTAAACTCACCAGATCATCAGAAACTATAGCAACCCAAAACTCTTTGGATAGGAACTATAGCAACCCAAAACTCAGGAACTATAGCAACCCCAAACTCACCAGCTCATCAGGAACTATAGCAACCCAAACTCACCAGATCATCAGGACTCTTAGCAACCCCAAACTCACCAGGTCATGAGGAACTATAGCAATCTCAAACACACTAGATCATCAGGAACTATAGCAACCCTAAACTCACAAGATGATCAGGAACTATAGCAACCTAAACTCACCAGATCATCAGGAATTATAGCAACCCCAAACTCACCAGCTCATCAGGAACTATAGCAATCTCAAACACAATAGATCATCAGGAACTATAGCAACCCTAAACTCACCAGCTCATCAGGAACTATAGCAACCCCAAACTCACCAGCTCATCAGGAACTATAGCAACCTAAACTCACCAGATAATCAGGTACTATAGCAACCCTAACCTCACAATATCATTAGAAACTATAGCAACCTAAACTCACCAGATCATCAGGAACTATGGCAACCCCAAACTCACCAGCTCATCAGGAACTATAGCAACCTAAACTCACCAGATCATCAGGAACTATAGCAACCCCAAACTCACCAGATCATCGGAAACTATAGCAACCTAAACTCACCAGATCATCAGAAACTATAGCAACCCAAAACTCATTGGATAAGAACTATAGCAACCCAAAACTCAGGAACTATAGCAACCCCAAACTCACCAGCTCATCAGGAACTATAGCAACCCAAACTCATTGGATAGGAACTATAACAACCCAAACTCATTGGATAGGAACTGCAACAACCCAAACTCATTGGATAGGAACTGTAGCATCAATAAACTTATCCGATCATACAGCAATTTTAGTGTTCCGAAACTCACTGATTATTTACCATAAAATATTATAGATATCATCTTTTGTTAGCTTGTTATCCAATGATTCTGTTGTCATGATTGCTGATAGCTTTCAGCATTGTGTTGTGAGGGAGAATGGTGACCAATGATTCTGTTGTCATGATTGACGATAGCTGTCAGCATTGTGTTGTGTGGGAGAATGGTGACCAGTGATTCTGTTGTCATGATTGATGATAGCTGTCAGCATTGTGTTGTGAGGGAGAATGGTGACCAATGATTCTGTTGTCATGATTGATGATAACTGTCAGCATTGTGTTGTAAGGGAGAATGGTGACCAGTGATTCTGTTGTTATGATTGATGATAGCTGTCAGCATTGTGTTGTAAGGGAGAATGGTGACCAATTATTCTGTTGTCATGATTGATGTTAGCTGTCAGCATTGTGTTGTGAGGGAGAATGGTGACCAATGATTGTGTTGTCATGATTGCTGATAGCTGTCAGCATTGTGTTGTAAGGGAGAATGGGGACCAATTATTCTGTTGTCATGATTGATGATAGCTGTCAGCATTGTGTTGTAAGGGAGAATGGTGACCAATTATTCTGTTGTCATGATTGATGGTAGCTGTCAGCATTGTGTTGTGTGGGAGAATGGTGACCAGTGATTCTGTTGTTATGATTGATGATAGCTGTCAGCATTGTGTTGTAAGGGAGAATGGTGACCAATTATTCTGTTGTCATCATTGATGTTAGCTGTCAGCATTGTGTTGTGAGGGAGAATGGTGACCAATGATTCTGTTGTCATGATTGCTGATAGCTGTCAGCATTGTGTTGTGGGGGAGAATGTTGACCAGTGATTCTGTTGTTATGATTGACGATAGCTGTCAGCATTGTGTTGTGTGGGAGAATGGTGACCAGTGATTCTGTTGTCATGATCGATGTTAGCTGTCAGCATTGTGTTGTGAGGGGGAATGGTTACCAATGATTCTGTTGTCATGATTGATGATAGCTGTCAGCATTGTGTTGTGAGGGAGAATGGTGACCAGTAATTCTGTTGTCATGATTGATGATAGCTGTCAGCATTGTGTTGTGTGGGAGAATGGTGACCAATGATTCTGTTGTCATGATTGACGATAGCTGTCAGCATTGTGTTGTGTGGGAGAATGGTGACCAGTGATTCTGTTGTCATGATTGATGATAGCTGACAGCATTGTGTTGTGAGGGAGAATAGTGACCAGTGATTCTGTTGTCATGATCGATGTTATCTGTCAGCATTGTGTTGTGAGGGGGAATGGTTACCAATGATTCTGTTGTCATGATTAATGATAGCTGTCAGCATTGTGTTGTGAGGGGGAATGGTTACCAATGATTCTGTTGTCATGATTGACGATAGCTGTCAGCATTGTGTTGTGAGGGAAAATGGTGACCTATGATTTCCTAGTAGAAATTACCTGGATATACTTTCAAGGTTACAAGAGCCATAACGTTAAGAGCCCTGATACATGTTAAGTAGACTGACACTTTTGTTGTTTTTTTAGCATATTGTGTTTAGGTAAAAGGTCAGTTTCGAGAGCTAGCTGGATTAACATGTTTACAAAGGCTTTAATGGGTAAATAATTACAAAAATCTTCTTTTTTTGGTTCGCTAGGCTAGGTATCCTGATATTTGGCTAGGTATCCTGATATTTGGCTAGGTATCCTGATATTTGGCTAGGTATCCTGATATTTGGCTAGGTATCCTGATATTTGGCTAGTAGGTACCTGGGATGAAGTACTACACAGATTTCTAACAGAAATGACCTTGACCTACTTTTAAGGTCACAAGGGTTTAATATATTGAATCTTCAAGCAACTAGAATTAAAAAGAACTATAAAGTTTAGAGCCATGATAGTTAGAGTGACTCTTTAGATACTGTTTAGGTCAGAGGTTAACTTTTAGTCTTGGCTGGGGTCATAGGTTATTATAAGCTATTTAAAAGGTTAAAAAGTATTGTTTATGGTTAGTTTTCAGAATAAGATTCATCAGTTTGGTATGAATAATAAAGACTGAATTGTTTTCAACTCAAACAGGAATTGAAAACTTATTTTTGTGAGCTTTCCAAAACATCTGTTTCCTTTGTCAAGCAAAGAGTGAAAATGACCGGTGTCTCGACTCTAAACTGCCGAAAACAACTCACTGTTTGTCTTCGAAACAATCTTAGTCTTTTTTATGGTTAGGTATTGACAAGTTACTTGGTTTAAGGATGACCAACAGATAACAAAGTTATACAGAGGAATACCCCCTGTTCCTCGAATAGTTCACTTGGTCCAGATCGTGTTCTTATACATTCTTTGTAAATTAACCTCAGATTACTCAAACTGCCATTGCTCCATTACCCCGTGTTCCTCTAAATCTGTGTGTTAACAACATGCCTCGAGGCATAGACTGTGTGATCAACTGTCCACTGATGTGTTAACAACATGCCTCGAGGCATAGACTGTGTGATCAACTGTCTACTGATGTGT